TGCCTCATTCCAGTTCATCAAATGTCCCGTGGAGTCTCTGTGGAGGACACAGGCGTACCTTACATCGTCTCTGTTAGAGGCATTTCGATGCTCATTCAGGCGGACTGCAAGATCTCTGCCTGTCTCGCCTACATATTTCTTGGGACAGAACCCACAGGGGATAGTGTAGACGCCTGCTGTAGAAGTTAGAGGTGTGGGGCTGCGTTTCGTAGTGAGATCTTTGATAGATGATGTGTTTATGGTGGAAACGTTGATGTTACTTATAGCAAGTGCCCAGAGCGAGTATTCGTGGCAACATCACCACATGGGAGTACTATGAACTGCTTAGGGGGCTGTTCCATGGGCGGTTTGTTGAGGATAGCTTGTGCCTTGAGTCTGCAATCTCGGATGAAGAAAGATGGGAACTGAAGACGTGTAAAGGCTTGTGTTATGTAAGTGCATTCTTCTTCTAGAAAACAAGGGCTGGAGATGCGAAGAGCTCTCAAGAAGAAGCCAATGAGGACTCCTCTCTTAGTGCAGGTGTCTTGGTGTGAATAAAAGTGTATAAGATCGTCCTTGTTGGTAGGTTTTCTATACACTTTGAAGAGAAGTTTTGTCACTGTCGGGAGATCTGCACAGTAGAACGTCGAGGAAAGGAAGTTTGCCATCATTTTTGAGTTCAAGTGTAAACTTTATTGATGGTTCAACTGCATTGATCTTGTTGAGAAGGGCCTGGATATTGAGACGTCTCGGATAGAAAACCAATACATCATCATAGGTAGAGGTTGTTTTGATAAGGACCTGCCTCGCATGGGCCAGTAGGCCTTCTACAGTGTTCCTCCATTCTTATGTTCTTATGACATTCCTCAGGTCACATGCGTCACACCTCACTCTCCGCCTATATATATAATGTCTTTCTACCTCTGTATGTTAGAAGTGATCAAGGTCCCAGGACCGAAACGTTTTCTAATAAATATGTCATAGTGTTTGCTTACGTGTCTTTCTAAACCAACTTGTCGGTATTTATTACCAAGGTTTATACCATGATTTTTGGTAAATATTCGATTCCCAGCCAGGGTAGAAACATTAGGCATGTTTCTTTACACCTGTTGTCTATGTTTACCCATCAGTAAATGGGTACCTGGGTGTTAGCCGACTAGTGTGGGTGTTATCCTGGGACACTGACCTAATTTTCTTGATACTACGTGCCGCAAAATGCCCTTCTCACACTATACCACTCACTTATTTATCCATACCTCACCTATGCTATTTGTGCTTGGGGATCAACTGCAGCAACACACCTAAAGCCAATAATAACCCAACAAAAGCTGCAGTAAGAATAATCACTAAATCCCATCCCTGGCAGCACACCCCCCCCCACTCTTCAAAGATCTAAACTTACTCCCAGTTCAGTACATCCACACTTACTACTGTGCAATCTATATCTACAGGGCCTTAAACTCTAATATCAACCTTGACCTAAAACGCTTTCTTGATAGTTGTGACAGAACCCACAGGCATAACACCAGACACAAACATCTCTACGACATTCCCCGTGTCCGACTAAACCTTTACAAAAATTCAATGTATGTCAAAGGCCCTAAAATCTGGAATACCCTACCTGAGAACTCTAGAACTGCAGACACATTCATCACCTTCAAAACTACCATTAGAAAACATCTTATCTCCCTGATACACCCCGTCAACTAACTACACGAATACCACCTGGTGGTTCACACTTACACTCGCTCACTCATTTGACCATAAACAGAAATATTAATCTCAGTCTTAAAATAATGAATCCTGTGATACTCCAATACTGAAACTATATACTGTGCCAAAACAAAAGCATTCACATTGCTAAACTCATAAACTAGTATTTAGTCACTTAGATATAATACCAACTTACCTCATAATTTGTAATATTTTACAATTAAGAATAAAACTAAGTATGCCCGAAATGCCTAGCCATGCTAAGCGTTCTAGTGGTACACTCTGTAATCACAATTATACTACATGTAAACCAAACAATAACCAAATTTCTGTAAACTCAGCATTGTAATCCTTATAGAGAATAAACTTTGAATTTGAATTGAATTTGAGATACTCGGCATAACAAGTGGCTTTCTATACAGTAGTATGTCACTGATGTCAGCTAGGCCTGCATACCTTGTATGTACATGTACGTGTAGTAAATAAAGATATTATTATTATTATTATTTTCTCAGTTGTTTGTTGGGTTATCTTATTCAAACTTGGGCAATGTATGATGGGAAGATACTTCTTAACGTAGACCAAAAATGAAAGAAATCAGACCATAAATAGCGGAGTTCACTTCTCAGCCATTAGCGGCCACTTAGCGGTATATTTTTGCATGTTTTTATGGTTATATTCTCATTTTTTCGGTATCATTTGATAGAATGAAAGATATATTACAGAAATAGATATGATTTTGATTGCTTTCATGACGAAAATACCACCTGGTGGTTAACACCTACACTCACTCACCCATTTGACCATAAACAGAAATATCAATCTCAATCTCAAAATAATGAATCTTAACTAGTCATAAGTTGGCCTGTGATACTCCAATACTGAAACTATGTATAGTGCCAAAACAAAAGCATTCACATTGCTAAACTCACAAACTAGTATTTAGTCACTTAGCCATAATACCAACTTACCCCATAATTTTGTAATATTTTAAACTTAAGATTTAATTTAAGTCTGCCCGAAATGCCTAGCCATGCTAGGTGTTCTAGTGGTACACTCTGTAATTATTATTTTACTACATGTAAACCACACAATAACCAAATTCTGTAAACTCAGCATTGTAATCCTTATAGAGAATAAACTTTGAATTTAAATTTGAATTTGAAATTGCGCTCACAGTAGCGAAAATGTTCTATTCTTTAGCAAATCTCAAGAGTAAACAAATGACGTCACCGTCCAATGCCTGTCCACCTGCCAGTCAAGAATGGGTTGACATTATTTATACAATTATTACAGTAATGCAGCAGTCTGCATAACAGTAAATCTTCTATTTTTTTGTGAATAAAAATTCCAAATGGTAAGCAAGAGTAATATAAGAGGGGCCTGTAGCCGTGACTAATGAAAAGAGAAAATGTTATTTTAGTGCCAGGAATGTCTGCATTGTTTATTCTGGATCCTATTTTGAAATTGGCATCTGTTGAAATTTGTGTGAAATCGGCCAAACTGCCAATTTCTGACCACTTTATTGGGTAGTTGAAATAAGTTAATGGGCGGTTTCTTGTACTCAGTTGACAGACTAGAAGTAAATAAGTGTATTAAGGTATACACAAATACAGTTACATAGATTATCATACATAGCAGTGTATGTATAGAGAACCTAGGATAACCCAGAAAAGTCAGACAAAGTGACTTATTTCCAGTACCTGGATTGGGCTTGCCATATATGATTTTTGGTAAATATTTTTTTTTCTAGGTTGTTTGTTGGGCTATCTCATTGAAACTTGGGCAATGTATGATGGAAAGATGCTTCTTAACGTACAACAAAAATAAAAAAGACGGATGATAAATAAGGGAGTTCACTTCTCAGCCATTAGCCGCCTCTTTGCAGTATATTTTTGTATGGTTTTTATGGTTGTATTCTCATTTTTTTGGACTCATTTGATAGAATGGAAGATATATTACAGAAATAGACATGATTTTGATTGCTTTCATGATGAAAAGTACCTTGAAATTGAGCTCAAAGTAGCGGAAATGTTTGCTTTTTGCCGATGTTCAATGAACTTTGTGTAAGTCAAGTTGGTTAATTTTATTAAGTGTATTCTAACCTAACCACTCTATAATCCGGCAAACTCAGTAATCCGGCACACTACAGGTCCCAATGATGCCGGATTTGTGATGGAGGACCTGTATTGACATTGTCATTAATGCATTTATGATATTTTTTTCAAAATTATTTAGGAAACACATTACATAATATATAAACATAATACATTCACCCACAGTAGAAAAAAAAATTGACATAAATATGAGATGTGGTAGCCAGGCGGCTTGTTATGCGTGATGGCAAGAATTATGTTTTCTCTAGTCCAACACCTGAGAAAATGTGTACACAATAGTATTACTAGGTTAAGAGTAGAAAATTATTCCTTTTGTGTGCCTTTACTCACAGCGACATTCACTCTAAATGGTGCCGTTGCCAGAATTGAGTGTTGGCTATTCTTTAATTACGCACCAATGTGGGACAACTTGTACACAAGAAGGTGTGTACTGTGTGTTTAAAAGCCTCATATGTGGGATAACTTGTATGACCCAAAACTCGAACTTTAGTAGCAATATCACATTGTCTGTTTTCAGTAGCCCTCATTGTCTCTTCATTTAATATCTCACTTTAAGGTTGTTAGAAATGATTGACCCTAGTGAACAAGTATTCCATGGTAAAAAATAATAATAATAATAATAATAATAATTAATAATAATAATAATTAATAATAATGACTCCGGGCATACAATTTAAATTGTCATTCAGTTTAGTGTGGGCACAACCACGTCTGAACTGTTACAATTAATACTAACTCTCCCTAAATTAGACTACACATATTTGAGGAAGTAATGAGTGTACTGTATTTATTTTATCGCTTGGGTCCTTTATATGTATTTATTTGGTGAGGTTATGGTATCCATGACGATGCTACCATTACCACACTGACTCTACCTACATAATTTCTACTACTCTCTCACCCTACAGTAAGACTACACATACATTTTAAAGCAAGTAATGAGCGTACTATATGTGTGTGCCTTACTTTTTTATTGTTTCTTAATGCCTAGTTCTATTGCTAACTTAATTGATGTTAGTGTAAACATGTTATCTGGCATTTATATGCATTTATAAGTAGAAAAAAAGGCCATTCTACTTTACGGTGGCAGCCTGGAACCTAACTTGCTGTATAAGTGGGGCCCTACTGTATAATCATAATTATTTCAACATAAGAACAAATTATTTATCAAAATAATAACTACATTCTTACCAAGTCTTGAATTATTCCTTAAAAAGACAGCCAAGTCAAGCATATCCTCCTCCTCTTCTAGTGGTTCTGGCAACTTTTCAATGTACTCATCATCTACATACACATGGCAAGTACTGCATGCTAAAGAAGCTTCGCAAGCACCTGTTCAGAAATATCAATGATATATGAAACCAACTGACCCTACAATGATAGATTTAGTTCATTTTATCAGATTAAGTCTCCGGTGTCCCAACAACTAGATTAATGATACCAATATAACTCTAATATTTATTACCATACAAATAAATCACTACAGATATAATGTACCCCGTGTCAGTATTTGTGAAGCATGTGTTCTGTTAGAAATTCATGGATTTAGTATTTACATTCCACACCCAACTGTGGCAGGAAAAAGTGGGTCTCTCATATATCCTTAACCAGTTAATATGAAAAGAGGCAAGAAAAAGAATAGAAAGAGGAAAAGGACAGGACCAGGGTGATTATAAGTGAACATACAACTCACTGCAAATAACTCGTGTCATAAAGGTAAATACAGAAGAGATGAGAGGATAGGAGAATTGTTCTGAAATACTGTAAAATTAAAAAGTGTGAAAAAAAAAAAAAAAAAAAAAAAAAAAAAAGCTGCCACCATCTGCTCTATAGAAACAAAAGAATCTGAGGCAAGGATTCATCTGAGGGTCAGTGGAAAAACTTTACTTTTTTCAATCACTGTACAATTCAAGAGGTATCCCTGTTTCACATAATTCTAGCCCCCTGTACATCAGCACAGACAAGAGGCTGAGTAGCTGTACCTCAAAACTCAATTGTGAAAGGAACTGTAGCTCACCTAATTACTCAACCCTTCCAAGATGTCCAGAAGCTGGAGATCAGCAACTTCAAAAAGCCCAGAAGTTTCAGATGTTCACACTCAAGAAACCTAGTACAGTACAGTACCTGTAGCTTAACATCCTCAAATAGTCCAGGAACTGTAGTTCAACATCCTTTAAGACACCCAGGAGTAGTCGTGTGTCAATGCTTCCATAGCAGCACTAGCAAATTTTGTCAACATTTCTATAACAGCACTAGTAAATTTTGTGTTAACACTTGCATAGGTGGCCCGGTGGTCTGGTGGCTAAAGCTCCCGCTTCACACACGGAGGGCCCGGGTTCGATTCCCGGCGGGTGGAAATTCCGACACGTTTCCTTACACCTATTGTCCTGTTCACCTAGCAGCAAATAGGTACCTGGGTGTTAGTCGACTGGTGTGGGTCGCATCCTGGGGGACAAGATTAAGGACCCCAATGGAAATAAGTTAGACAGTCCTCGATGACGCACTGACTTTCTTGGGTTATCCTGGGTGGCTAACCCTCCGGGGTTAAAAATCCGAACGAAATCTTATCTTATCTTATAACTAGCAGGTCTTACGTTAATGCTTCAATGGCAACACTAGTGGATTTTGCATCAAGGCTGAAGCTAATCAAACACCATAATAACACAAATGAATCACTTGCTTAAACTTAGCAGGAAATTTTTGAAGTTTATTCCTTCTAACTGGAGACTGGTTTACAGGGAGAGTAGTAGGTCTTCCTGTTTTATCTCAAAAACCAACAACTGATCATAATCAGTTAGTCTTCTATGTTACAGCAGTTTTCAAACTGTTTCATAGAACCCTAGAGCTCCAAGGGAGCCTGAGGTTCAGTGGGGAATGTCGTGTTTAACCCTTTCAAGGTCCAGAGGCCAAATTTCGAAGTGTGCACCAGGGTCCAATAATTTTCAAAAAATAATTTTGTTATTTTTTCTTGTGAAATGGTAGAGAATCTTTTTCTGAGGGTAATAAAACAAAAAGTACGGAATTTGATGGAAAACTGACAAAATTATGCTCTTGTGAATTTTGATGTGTCAGTGATATTTACGCATCGGCGATTTTGCCGACTTTGACTCCCATTTTAGGCCAATTACATTATTCCAGTTGACCAAATTCTTAGCTATTTCACTAGTATTACTTCTATTCTATCGATTGAGCACAAGAAATCGCCAAGTCAACTGTTTCAACTACAAAATAAAGTGATCGGAAATTGGTAACTTGGCCAATTTAATGCAAAGTTCAAAATATTCTAATTTCAAAATAGGGTCCGGAATAAACAATGCAGGCACTCCTGGCACTAAACTAACATTTCCTCTGTTCATTAGTTACGTTTTCTGGCTTTACAAATGAATTCCATTTTGATTTTTTATTCACATAAGTAATTTTTATTCAAACCAAAAAATAGATTTACTGTTATGCAATATTGTAATAATTGTATAAATAATATCACCACATTTGTGAACGCATATTAGACCCACCAGCTGGCATGTATTAGACGTGTGGGGTCACTTGTTTACTCTTGAACATTGGCAAAAATTTAACATTTCCGCTACTTTGAGCTCAGTTTCAAGCCATTTCCATTACAAAAACCAATCAAAATCATCTCTATTTCTGTAATATATCTTCCATTCTATTAAATGAGACCAAGAAATTGCAAATACAACTATTAAAAACATACGAAAAAACACTGCAAAGTCGCTATTTTAATCGAAAATTATGGTCTCAGTTATTTTTCTCTCATTATGCACTGTGTGCTGCAGGATTTGTTTTATGTGGTGCACACATACCACATTGATGTATTTTCTCATATCTGGGCCCAAATTTACCACTCACTGGCGTAGATCTACTGTTTGGACCCTCAACGTATAACTGTAGATCTACGGCACGGACCCTGAAAGGGTTAATATGAACATGTGCTGAGAAACAGTAGTCTGAATCCTGGAAAACAAAGACATTTTGCAACCAAACATCCTAACTGAAAAATAAAAGTGATAAGTAATTTATTATTTCAAAAGAAAATCTGCCATATTCCATGAGAAGAAAAGTGCATGTTGTACAGTTTTGTCAAACAAAAAAAATGCTATTGTGACTTTATACAATGTTATTACAAAACAAAAGCAAATGAACATAATACTGTAGTATAAAGAGTGATAAAACTGTGTGTAAAAGATCCTGTAGAATATATAGACAAAAATTTTTCGAATAAAAACTGACTGTGTCACTCTCTCATACTACAGTTTTAAGACACATGAGTAAAACTGAGTCCAGTTGATTTCTCAATGCAAACTGATAAATCTGCCGATGCAAAGGTTTAGAAACATTACAGTGACTGTGTTTGTGTGCTATATGTATAAATCTTTTATTGAAAAGTATATGCTGATTTACAAGTTTTTTAATCAAAACCACAGGTGAAGAAATACTCAATATGATCAATTAACTTGCAATTAAATAAATATTATAAGTTCTAAAAAATATAATCAGTGAGATAATTAAAGCTGTCAATTTCATCAAAGCATGATCACTCAATGCCAGGATTGTGAAGAAATGGAGAGCCTGCATACTAAAGTTCGATGGTTATCTTAGCCTAATAAGGCTAACAGATTACTGGGAATTATATCAAGAAGTATAGGTAAAAGAAGTTTAAAGGTTATACTGCAGCTCTGTACACTGTTAATAAGACCTCAGTTCTGGTCTCTGTACTACAAAATGAATATAAATTCACTGGAAATCATACAGAGAAGAATGACAAAATTAAAATACTGCATAAGAAATCTTTCATATGAAAACACAGTGAGAAACCTTTAACCTATATTCACTTGTAAGACCGAATCAAGAGAGACATGTTTGAAGTGTACAAGTGGAAGATGGGCATAAATAAAGAAGATATAAATAAGATTCTCAGGATATCCTTCCAAGAAAGAACTAATAGATTCATATTGGATAAGTTTAGGGTTAGAAAGGCTGTAGAAAAGTACTGGCTTAAAAATAAAAGCACTCAATGAGCAGAACAATCTGCCTAGTAGGGTCATTGCAGCTAAAACCTTGGGTAGCTTCAAAAATAGATTGGATAAATACATGAGTGAGAGGGGCTGGATTTGAGTGGGACTTATACAACATAAGTTAAGAGGGCTATCAAAGCTTTTTCCTGTAGTATCCTTGAAAATGGGTTAGACAAATATTTTTGTTAGAGGGTTTGGGTTTGAGAAGGCTTTGCTTAGTATGGGTTATAAGCCTGCTGCAGTGTTCCTCCATTCTTATGTTAAGAGAAGTCTGTCTTTTATTGAAGTGTCCTTTAGAACTAGTACATAAATTAAGTAACAAATGGTGGATACAGAAGGTGGCATACTTGATTGATATATTTACATATCTCAATGAATAAAACTATAAGGCGTTTCGCCTTATGGTGTTCCGCTAATATGGCGATTTCAAATTATGACCAAAACTTGCTATATGGCTCCCCGTTTTTCTAATACGGCGCGCCCCACCCAGTTTATTCACATTCTCCGTGAGCATATCTTTCTATTATGTCTGGAAACTTTCCAAAATTTCAAGTGTTTTAAAGTTACTGCATATTTTATATGTACTCTGATAATTATACTTATATGTACCTGTACTTAAATATACTTACACTGTGCTGGTGTGGAGGTACACATTAAAATCACTAAGAGTCTCTCTACTCTTGATGCCATATTAACCCTTAAACTGTCCAAACGTAGATCTACGTTTTTTCAACATTTGAAAATACGTATGAAAAAAAAGTAGATCTTCTTTTCTTTTTTACATTGGAAAAAGTGTAAAAAACTTTGATCTACTTTTTTTGTTGTTATATTTGAAAATATGTAAAAAAAAACATAGATCTACTTTTGGAGCACTACGCATGTGAACGTAGATCTGCTTGGACACTTTAAGGGTTAATAATAACAATACGTAATCTCTTGGGCACATTAAATGTCGTATATTACGTTAATATAGACATTTCCATTAATCCATCTATGATATTTTTTCAAAATTATATAATAAACATGCTATATAACATATAAACATGATAAATACACCCCACAGTAGAATAAATTAACATAAATATGAGATGTGGTAGCCAGGCGACTTGTAGGAGTGATGGCAAGAATAACATTTTCTCTAGTCCAACATCAGAGAAAATGTGTACACTATAATATTACCGGGGGTAACTAGAAAATTACTCCTTTCATATGCCTTCACTCAGAGCGTCATTTCTTCTAAAAATAGTGTTATATGAGAATGGGAGTGTTCCTCTTTATTTATTCTACTGTATCGATGTG